CAGCAAATTACGTCATTTCATAGTTCAAACTGAATGAGCTATAAAATAAATTCACAATAATTATATACTTATAGCAACAGTCAAATACTTTAACCAATAACATAACAATATACTGCATCAACATACTTTAACCAATAACATAACAATATACAGCTTCAAACACTTTAAACATTAACATAACAATATACAGCATCAAACACTTTAACCATAACATAACAATATACAGCCTCGAACACTTTAACCATAACATAACAATATACTGCATCAAATACTTTAACCAATAACATAACAATATACAGCATCAAACACTTTAACCATAACATAACAATATACTGCCTCAAACACTTTAACCATAACATAACAATATACAGCATCAAATACTTTAACCAATAACATAACAATATACAGCATCAAATACTTTAACCAATAACATAACAATATACAGCCTCAAACACTTTAAAACATTAACATAACAATATACAGCATCAAATACTTTAACCATAACATAACAATATACAGCCTCAAACACTTTAAAACATTAACATAACAATATACAGCATCAAACACTTTAACCATAACATAACAATATACAGCCTCAAACACTTTAACCATAACATAACAATAAACTACATCAAACACTTTAACCATAACATAACAATATACTGCATCAAACACTTTAAAACATTAACATAACCATATACAGCATCAAACACTTTAACCATAACATAACAATATACAGCATCAAACACTTTAAAACATTAACATAACCATATACAGCATCAAACACTTTAACCATAACATAACAATATACAGCATCAAACACTTTAAACATTAACATAACAATATACAGCATCAAATACTTTAAAACATTAACATAACAATATACAGCCTCAAACACTTTAAACATTAACATAACAATATACAGCATCAAACACTTTAAACATTAACATAACAATATACAGCATCAAACACTTTAACCATAACATAACAATATACAGCATCAAACACTTTAACCATAACTTAATCTCCAACCACATTATTATTGAGAATCAATTAATTTCAATCATTTTGTCTTAAGGCTACTCACAGTAATAATATCGCTATAATCTTCCATCAATGATTATGCCCAGCCATAATATCTCAGACAAATCTATTTCTCTCCAAAAATACTTCAGATATGGTTTGCGGGAAGATCAGATAGGGGTTGAAAGCCAACACCATGTCCACCCCCAAAATCAGTGGCTGTGGCATCATAAGAGCAGCAAATAAGACTTGATATAACATACAATGATGATGAACTATTCTGTAACAATTCCTGAAGTTGGGATTTTACACAAAATGAAACTTATCCATTGCAAGAAAGCTTGCTAGGCATGGTAATATACCCCCACTGGCAGCTTTGATTTTATACACAAATATTTAGCAGAGATATTACAGTATGAAATATTCAATCTTTAGTCTAACACTTCTTTTGAATTTTTTTGCATGATAGTTAACAATATGACAAGTTTTGCTTTCATCAGGGGAAGAAGTAAAAAAATGAGTATCAATTGTCAACAAAAATTGGTCAGTCACTGAAGTAAAGACAAATTTATTGCGCGCACTTATTATATATTTCCGCAAATGAATACATCATCATTCCACATGAGGTATATGTTCACTAATACAAATTCTTTAATGCAAGGCTATCTAATGTAAAGTATGTAATTCAAAGTGTTAAATACTAGCTGCATTCGTGCAGCATTTAATTGGACTTTCGAGTTAAAATATACAATTTGCATTTTTACACATCAATATTGATACCAAGCAGGGACAGCCTTATTTCTGGGGTACAACATTTACAATTTAAGTTTACATAGACCAAACCTCTTGCCTTTGATCTTTCCTGGTTTACCCTACTGAAATAATGGAGAAAGATGACTTATTGAAGATCACCAGAATTTCACATGCAGACCGAGATTAAATCCCATAACCACCTTCTGCTCAACATAACCAAGCAAATAATATCATTTCAACACTCAACACAATAAATTGTTGATTAAATGAAGGTATATAGACACAGCTTTATGGAACAACAATCACAATTGCTTAATGCCATTCAAAAAATCATTGAATGAAGTTTGAAATAAGTCCAACATAAGAATCCAGACTTAACATACGTAGGGTATAGACTATGCTTTTTAAATAACTATCTTAAACAGAACTTCTATAGAAGTTGATAATGTTCCTTTAAGTGTGTGTTATCAAAATAATTTGTCTAGTTTGTCTAGCAATAAAGAAGACATTGATAATAAGACTAGTATTTCCAGTGGATGATCAATCTAACTGATCTACTACCATTCTTTCTAACTCTATCACAAATAGATTAACTGATTTATTACATCATTGCGTTTTTTATTCTATTAATATCCTTACTCAAGTCTCTAAGCTTGTCATGACTAAATCATGGCTTCATTTCCTTTTGTTCACCTCCATCAATATATTCAAGGTTATCAAGTTAACATCTAATTAATATTCAATTCCAACTAAAAATTTGGCTAATCCTACATGAATATTCTAAATAAAGAGAAAGCAGAGTTTACTTCAAACAAAATGAAATAAATGGAGTTTACATTACTGAAGCAGATTGGGGTAATTAAGAAAGGCAGTATCAACTATCATAAAGTGTGCAATGAGGGTACTTTTGCCACGGAAGTAGAATAGGTCTACTATTTTACAATTTACAAGACTAGCCTCATCGATCTGCATCAAATCGGGTTGAAAAATTTGAAATCTGATTCGCGTTTGGGCGAGATATAATTTTATCTAATATCAGAACAGAACAGAAGGAAATACCTAGCAGTTTCAGACTGATAATTCTATTTTCTTAATGAATTATTTGTTCAATCCTAGGCCTGTATATTTGGGAGAATCAAACCCTCCCTTTAACGAAATCTAACTCACTGAGCAACCATGGTTCCCTAAATTTTCAATCATGCCTTAATGACTATATATAATCAAAACCAGAGTTTGGCTTCATTTGCACAAGTTTCAAAATATTCCAGTTCAAACGTTAACCAAATCTTTAAATGGTATATAAGTTTACATGAGCAATTTTGAGTAATATAATAACATACTATACAAATAATCAACTCTTTCCTCTTGTGTCTTCTATATTAAAGGTGCTTATTGTATATAAAGTTTGCCCATTTTTCATTGTTATGGCTATTGATGGGAGACATTGCAAAAAACTTTAACCAGTTTACGCATATCTTTTAATTTCGTTATGCTTTTTGGTAGGTGTTAAAAAAACTACTTTAAGCAAAATAAACTCCTAATTGTAGAGAAATATTTCTCTTACATATTCTAAAGGTTTCAAGTCTTATGTGGCCCAACACCTGCTATAAGTTGCTTAATCAACAATTAGTACATTCCATTTTTAATTAACACTTTTAAAATAAATTTAGTTTGAGGAAGTTAATAGCTAAATATAGATATATTTCAGGAAAAATATGTTTTCGTTTTGATAATAAAAATTTTGCGTTCTGTCCCTTTAAATAGAATAACTGAATTGTACACAGATATAAACTATATTTCCATCATTGTTAATTCATCATTCAAAACTCATAAAGACTCAAAACAGGGTAAAAAAAATATGAAGATAAGCTTCAAGTCTTTTTTTCTCTATTGTCATGTTCTTATAGTGAATATATTTGAAAGTAAACAAAATTTAGACTGAAGTTTCAGACTAACATACAAGTTAAAAATATAACAAGCAGTACTCACCTATATAGTAATTCATCAAAGCTAGTATAGTTGTAGGTTATATCTCTAGGTCTGACTTGTATTGGTATGGGACAGACTGAAGTCCTGGCTTCTATACCGTCCAATATACCAATGAAGAGATACACTGAAAATTCAGAACGAAAATTGCTTGAGTCAATATTTGTTTGAGGGGAGAAAAATCATTACTCGAAGTGGAGTTACTCGTAGGTCCATAGCCCGACTGAAAAAACACACTGGCCGACCGACAATGTTTACTTTTCATCCACTATTCCTTCATGGTATTGATTGCAGCCATACATAGTATTATAGCAGCTTTATATTGTGAATCGACGTGATACTGTCTTGTATATATATATAGGGTGGACCAGAAAAAACGCCAACACTATTTATTTCAAGATTATTCATTATATATCTAAGCTAATCTTTAAATACTTTGACCTCTTCTGAAATTTTGAGTCAAATTAGAGCTAATCAAATATAGTCTATATTTACAGTTACACTGTGAATCAATGTCATACTCTACTATATCAGGTGGTGCAAAAAAAACGCTAACACTCTTCATTTCAAGATAAAAGTATTCAAACTAAAACCAATATTTGGATCTAATTATAATAGAGACATTTTTCCACGAATTACATTGTAATACTAGCAGTTTAAAAACCTCAATGTAAAGAGTAATCATTGTCAATAGTTAAGAAGTTCAACAATTTTCAGAATAAACTGTCCATAAACACTTTTCAAACATAAAACTGCATAATGAAAGATCCTGAAATTAGAAGTGTTTTTTCTGGTTCACCCGATATACACAGCCTATTTCTGGCTTTACTCTGACATCAACCTAATATTCATTCATTGCTAACATCTTGAAATCTCTACATCACCTATATTTTAATTTAACTGGCCTATTGAAATTGTTAACTTGGAACTTGCATGTTGAACTTAAAGGGGCAATAAAATTTATCTTTTATAATGAACTTTTTAGAAACTGTTATAGTTTTACTATGTTGGACTGTTGGTATTGATCATGACTGCCTCTGGCAGATCATTCAATTTGGCACCTTACCCAATGTATACATATTTCTTATATTTCTCTACAATTTTTTTTAGTTCAATTAGAGCATCTAACTTACTTGACCTACTAAAATATCAGACTGTCCCTTAAATACTAAAAACATAGCTCAGTGGCTCCATCTATTTCTATTGTATTCTAGTCGGACCAGACAATGGGGAAACAAGTACTTTTAACTCAACTCAATGATTGTTCATTTAATTACATTCTTTTATTTGAAATTAATTCTATACAATTGATTTTAATTTTCATTGACAAGATTTCTACTACTGGAGCAAAAAAACTGGGTGATATAATGAAATAATTGTTCTAAATTCTACCCCGGTGTATGAATAATTTTGAAATCTTCTGGATTTTAAAAATAGAAACCTGTACAACATCAAAACATATGTCATTTTTGCAATTTTCAAGACTGTATTTATCTAACCTGTGTTAAAACCTAAATCAAAAGACAAAAATAGATTACAATCATACATACCAAATTTGAGTGTAATTAAAGTATAATTATAAGATGTATAGAGTATAGTAATTGGTATATGAAGAGACTGACAAGCTCACTAGTTATTGACTTCCCACCTCCATTGTCAACAATCACTTTATTTACTTCTAATTAATTAGGACACAAAATTGCTATCTTCTAATGGTAAATAACTCTAACTTAAAGGTAGACACGACTAGACTTTATTAATGTCTGCCTCTCCAATTAGAAGGGAGACTGGGTTGAAATATCCAAAGGTAATATCTAGCTCTATACTGAGATTAAACCCTGGACCCTCAGGTTAACAGGCACATGTCTAATTTATTGAGTCAACACCATTTAAATTGGTCAGTTATTGAATTTCAAGAACAAAATGAAAAATAACAAAATAATATAAGATAAGAGTTCTTCCATGAAGAATGAATGAATACTTAAGATGAATGAATGAATTGATTTCTCCATCCTACTTTTCCATAGTAAACGTCATACAGTGTGCAATGAGAGAAATATTGCCAGGACAGCAGCATTTACCTACTCTATTTCAATTTCAAACTAACTTTGGCCCTTTAACTTGTAGCACATGAATGAATGATTAATTAGATGAATGAATGAATGAATGAACTGATCAATTGGATGAACGAATGAATGAATACACTAACCAATCCTACCTCTATTTTGATCTGTGGTATTGCCAGCTGGTAGTTTAAAGTTTATTTCATGGCTCAATCCTCTGTACAACAACTTTTTCATATCCTCTTTATATAGATTATAACTAACTTCAAACTTGAGAGGCATGTGCTGAAAAACATGAAAACAATCAAAGAGATTTCACACAGACTTATTCAATACCTTTTACAGCTGGGTGGACTTGAATAAAGAGGAATGCTGATATTAAAGTAATTGTAAAGATGTTTTCAAACTATTTATGTGTATCAGGAACACTGATAGCATTGATTTGCACCATTCTGATTTTTAGTCAGACATCTATGGGTCTTACAATTCCATGAAAACTAAGCATTTTATGATATGACTATTCCAAATGTCTTTGGATATTATGATAAACTTCTGCAAGATGATGTCATAAACAGTCAGATGTCTGATTGAAAATTAGAATGGTGCGAATCATTGCAATCAGTGTCCCTTTTATACCTGTTTTTTTGACTTTTTTCTTTTTTTGTGATATGGATATGTTTATATAGATTTTCTTCTAGTGATCAAACAAAGTAGTGTTTTACCTCATCTTTCCATTCACGGCAGAATACTTTAAAATTTGTTTCTAACTCAACCCCATCATACCTAGATGACACCTCGCACAAACCCTTCTGTGGACTTTTATTAACTATGAAGTACATCATAGCAACACCAGTTATATTATCTGAAACAAAATAGAAAAGATAATCAAATGAACAGGATGCATCAAGCTAATGCTACAGAAACACAAACAGTTTATCACTGAAACGAATTATCTCGTTGCCAACAGGATTTTTAACATCATAGATATTTGTTGAAAATTTGGGTAGCTGATTCGCAAGTGTCATCTTTCAATCAAATTCATTTTCACTTCAATTGCATGAACATCACGTGATAAACAACATAGTGAAAAATGACCAACTGGAGATGGTTTATGTGCCAGCAGCATAAAACAAATTTGAATGTAAGTCTTAATCTTTGGTCCATATTGTTCTCCTATCAAGTTTCACATAACATAAGAAACATGTTTCCCTTTAATTTGGTGGATTAATTTAGCACTTTCCAACCCTACCCTTTCATACAAATCTTAAATACCTGAATAACCATATTTTAAAACAGATAGGTCAATGTAAATAACAGATTTTTCAAGTCCAAGGTTTAACAAAATGTCAAAATTCTTTCTGTCTTGTTCAAAGGTTATTAAAGAAAACGATTAAACTTGTAATTTATTTTAACAAACATTCAATAATTTATTTTATTCTGAATGTACTTCAATAGAAAACTCTATAGCTCAAGTCTTGTTTTGAGTTTTAATTTCCTTTTGGTTGGACATGAGTCCCTCGAGAGCTATTCAATGGGTCTAATCTTTCCATGTTCAAGCCAATGTCGATTGAAAGCAATGAGTGTAATGGTCCCACTACATGCTACATGAAAGTTGGATGCCGCCTGAACATTAAAGTGATTGTGAAGAGCTTTTCTAGCTTTTCTTTATATGAATCTGGGTCTGAATTTATATCATTCTAATTTTCCATCAGCTGTTTGTGGTTCCTGGATATTATTGTTAAGAGGTTTTTTAATTTTTCTTTGTAGTAGTATTAGTGATTAGGGTGATTGAAAGTAACAAGTTACTTTTAAACCGGACACTGGCAAGAGAGGAATTTGCAAGAACCACTGACACCTGACTAAAAATTGGAATGGTAGAAATGGATGCTGTCAGTTTCCTTGAACCACATACAAATTTACAATCATTTCATGGCAAAATATACTGAATTAGTAAACACTTTAGACATCTTTTGTCATCGCAATAATGAAGGTTTTGACAGAAATCCATGTCTGTCTGAAAATTTGAATGGTGCAAATAGACGCTGTACATAGAAAGGTAAGTAATAACAAATTTAGGCATTTAGGCATCCCAGAAATACTTGAAGGTTGTGTTGGTATTCGTAGTTTAAGATGACAAAATAGAGATATTTCTCTGATGTTTGATGCTGGTTGTATAGACAAGCAGACGGATACAGCATCTCTAACTCCCAGATGTAAGCTAGATCAATTTCAAAGTAATATCCCAGAGTACCTAATCAACTTAATGGCTTTCTCAAACAAATAGAAAAACACACTTCACATACTGAGCAAGGTCTTTGTCGTTCATAACGGCATGTTTTCTACCCTTCTTTCGTGCTAGCTGAGCATGTTCACTCTTGAATTCCACCCTTTTTAATCTGATAAAGCTTACTTGTGAACAAATATAATTCTATTATTACTAATATTTTTTCCAACGATGAAATTGATATTCCATTTGCTTGGAATCATTTCTGTCAACAGAGGCCAAAGATGCTATTGTCCATAGTCAAATATGGTAACATGAAAGTATTGGAATCTTCATTGTTCTCATCAAAGTATCTGATTCTCAAACATGATTCTGAATTCATTACTGAAGAAATTTCATTACTGAAATGAATCTAAAAATATCTTCAAACAACCTCTCTCGCTTTTTCATAATTTCTTGACTTCTCTATAGAAAATTTATAAAATCATTTTGATTTGCAATCATTTATCAAATTAGTTCATATCTATTAATTTTTTGATAAAAACATGTATTTTGTCAGATAATTTTTAGCCATTAATTTGTTTGATTCAATGGGAAGTAATTGAATATTTACTTGATAACCAAAACATAAATCATTGGCCAGTATAAAAGAAAATACTTCTGTCTATTTGAAAATTAAACACTTTTCATTTTATTTCATAACATTCATCATAAACTGAATTCTGAAGATTTATTGATTCGTCTTTTCGCCTTTGGAAGAAAAACTTTTAATCTTTAATTTTATTTTCAATTCATCAATATATCAGACCAAAAATTATATCTTTAAAATTCTATTTCAATTTTCAGTCTGGACGTTTGAATGAAGCAAAAATTTCACTCTTTCTGTAGCTCACATTTAGCTTAAATGGATTGTAAAGAGGTTTTCTAAACATTTTGTTAGTATGGGAGACACTGACAGCATCTATTTGAACAATTCCAGTTTAAAAGAAAACTGTTTAAAAATAATAAGTCTTAAGAATATGGAACAATAGGTTTAAATCAACTTTTCTTGACTCTTTAGTAAATAAATATGATTGTATGTGTTAATGATGAATAGTATCCACTGTTACACTGTTGACTGAGAAACCCACTTACTTAATGTTTACATTTATTATCTTGTGAAGATTTCAAGTGCTTGTTAGGTGTAAACAGAGATTATGGAACATTAAGACTAAATTACTCTTTCCTTTTATTATGTAAGATTTTGTAGTGTCCACAAATATCCTGTTCTCAATTAGAAGTATAGATTTAGTCCTCAAGTGTCTCTGATCAATGATCACACTAACTGTAATTTCAACCAGTACATTACAACTGTCAAAGAAAGAAACAACATGACCTTTTGCCTTTCAGTATATTGAATCTTACAGGACAACATCATTCACTTTGACAAACAAATTTATTAGTCTTAATGGGCAATTCGATCTTTTTGTAGGTCAAACAATTTTTTGCTCAAATTTATGACAACTATCCCCCAATTCTAGAGAAATACATCATTTAATTTATCTGAAGTTTTAACTAAGAGTATCTTGTCATTAATTTTAGAATGCCAATACTAGTTAAAAGAATTACATAAAAATTTCAACATAGCTATTGGTTTTAACTAAAAAATATCAAGCAATTATAAGACCACACACCAAAACTACATCAAACTGTTTTATTAACAATTAGTAAGCTCTGTTTTTAAGGCATAGAAGTAAATAACATAATTTTCAATGTTTTTAACAATAATAATTGTGCATACTACCCCATTAAGTTAAAGATCTCTGTACAGTTGGAAATTGGTATTGGAATTTACCTCATTGTACACTAAATACAATTGCCTGTGTTCATTAGCCCAATCAGATTTCATTTTATTCTTTGATCTCCACATCACTAATTCAATCTCCATCAGTTGAAGAGTTATTGCACAGTTGAGATGAAAGTGGCAAATGAAACTAAGTCCCAAGTAATTCTAAGTTAAATAATAGTCCATCAAAGTATTAACTATAATGAATCAGTCATTTTACTGCTTTAACCAAATCATCAGTTACACTCGTTCATCAAATAGACATTTTTTATCTATGTTTAATTTAGACATTTCTTTCTCTTTTTCATACAAAATATTCTACTCACACAGGAGTTAATGAAAATAAGGTAATAAAATTATAATTGGTAAACCAATAGTCTCAATATAATATTAACTGTTTATGTAATAGTTAAAATTATCCCCTAGAGACTCTAAAGTCCCCTTTTCAATGTGTACTATTTCCTAATTTTTTCTGAGGTTATCCGTAATATAGCCAGACAGCATAAAACAACTAAAACTGAGATTGTCAAGAAAATTACACAAGACTATAAAGATGCCCATATACGACCCCCACCCCACTCCTGACAGATAATATCAAGCTTCAGATATGTTATATTAGAATCAATATTATACATGATTTACCTCATATTTAATATTGATATTCATGAAAATGAATAGATATCAAAAATTACATCTAAAACCCACGAAATACACAGATCAATTTATTACTGTTTATTAAGAAACACATACTAAATATGATCTAAATAAGTTACTTCATCCCCAATCTTCAAGTCAATTACAATTTTATCTTTCCCTTTTCTTCCCATATTTTCTGTCTCCATTTGAATCCAACAGGCTTTCCTCTGCAGTTGCATTCTAATCATGTCATTTTCAACCAATCAAAGCATGTCATGTAGGACCCATTTCTTGATATCTATGATGAATTGTGGGATAGCAATGTCCAGTATGACAGAGTAGCAAAATATCAGTTATGCCACATCCACGCCAATGTTTTGTTTATATTTACAGACAATTGGAATGTATAATTATATTCAAAATTTCAAGCTTTGCTGTAAAAGCCAAAAAAAATGTTTTATATCTTCTTATTTTTTAACCCAGTGACACCGTGTCCGTGATGCAGGTCGGAGGGGCAAACCTGGAAAAAGCATCATGTTGTTTGAATAAGACAGTAAACAGATGTCCCATTTGCAACAGACTGTGCTACAGATAATTTCCCTCATTGCACACTGCTTGGCATTGTCCACCAATTCTTAACAGGTTCAGAAAAGTAGGACATAAAAAACAATTTAATTAAAACTATATTATTGTCCTGTTATCGGAAGTTTTGGCTTACTGCCTTCTTCAGAAACACCCAAAATAGATCTCCATCACATCTTATTCCATTATTTTACTAACTATTTAAAGTTTAGAATACTAATTTCATTTCTATCCATTTGGATTTTTTTCTGTCTACCTAAAGGTACATAAATTCATATAACAATGATTCTTCCTCTAAATATAGCATAAAAAGGTGTGGAACAGATAAAAGTCTGTGGTAAACATCAAAACGTGTCAAACAATAGTTTCACTGCAATATACTGAATAATATCTCATTGTTTGAGGGCACAGAACAAACTTCCTAATAGCTATTTGCGCAAATAATGAAAAGAATCAAATTTCATCATATGTATCAGATCTTTAATGGTATTTTCAGTGTAAAAGGGGTTTGGCTTGAACTCACACCTAAATGATTTAAAGTATCACAGTGATTCCTTAAAAAGAAAAAACATCTCTCTAGAGAGATGAAGTAATGTGTCCAGGGTAGGATTGTAAACCTCTCGAGAGATGAGGTAATGTGTCCTGGGTAGGATTGTAAACCTCTCGAGAGATGAGGTAATGTGTCCAGGGTAGGATTGTAAACCTCTAGGTAGATGAGGTAATGTGTCCAGGGTAGGATTGTAAACCTCTCGAGAGATGAGGTAATGTGTCCTGGGTAGGATTGTAAACCTCTAGCTAGATGAGGTAATGTGTCCAGGGTAGGATTGTAAACCTCTAGGTAGATGAGGTTATGTGTCCAGGGTAGGATTGTAAACCTCTAGAGAAATGAGGTAAGGTGTCAAAGATAAGATTGTAAACCTCTAGAGAGATGAGGTAATGTGTCCAGGGTAGGATTGTAAACCTCTAGAGAAATGAGGTAAGGTGTCAAAGGTAAGATTGTAAACCTCTAGAGAGATGAGGTAATGTGTCCAGGGTAGGATTGTAAACCTCTAGGTAGATGAGGTAATGTGTCCAGGGTAGGATTGTAAACCTCTAGAGAGATGAGGTAAGGTGTCCAAGGTAGGATTGTAAACCTCAAAGTAGATGAGGTAAGGTGTCCAAGGTAAGATTGTAAACCTCTAGGTAGATGAGGTAATGTGTCCAGGGTAAGGTTGTAAACCTCTAGGTAGATGAGGTAATGTGTCCAGGGTAAGGTTGTAAACCTATAGGTAGATGAGGTAATGTGTCCAGGGTAGGATTGTAAACCTCTAGGTAGATGAGGTAATGTGTCCAGGGTAAGGTTGTAAACCTCTAGGTAGATGAGGTAATGTGTCCAGGGTAAGGTTGTAAACCTATAGGTAGATGAGGTAATGTGTCCAGGGTAGGATTGTAAACCTCTAGGTAGTTGAGAAAATGTGTCCAGGGTAGGATTGTAAACCTCTAGGTCGATGAGGTAATGTGTCCAGGGTAGGATTGCAAACCTCTGGAGAGATGAGGTAAGGTGACTGTAAATCTCTAGAGAGATGAGGTAATGTGTCCAAGGTAAGATTATAAACCTCTTGAGAGATGAGGTAATGTGTCTAGTGCTGGATTATTCATACAATAGAAAACAAAAAAAGTAAACGTGTAAACGAATTTTCAATTTTTCGAAGACAAAGAAAGGGGGCTCTATTATCACAATTATTCAGTATATAAGCAAGATAGAATAATGTTGTTCAATAATACCATATGATACTGTTGACTTTACACTTGTCTTATTAAAAACACTTGTTTTATTCAGGATCAATACTGAGATATTTAAATACTTATATTCACATATAGATTTTTTTATCATATACTCGACTAAATATGTTAATATTCAGAAGATTTATTCTGAAAACTTATAGAGATAAAATCCTGGTTTCAAGAAAAACAGCTATCTGATTGGGCAATAAAAGTAAATCTATTATTCCATTTTCTTAATGAAGTATTTGTTCAATCCTAGGCCTGTATATTGAATTGATAACACCAAAATCAGTGATAATATTGCTAATCACTAACATTTCTATTTCTGAATTGTGACTAAGTCTGTACATGTGGAAAAAGTAAAACAATCCCTTCTTCAAAATATAATAATAGGATAATCTATTAATAGTCACTTTGGAAAGATTTCTTCAAAATGCTAATTGGTAAGACATCACAATAATGTGACATAATACAATTACTGCATGGGTGAGAGTAAAGACTACACAAGGTTCTACCCACTTTTGGAGCGTATGGTCTCTTGAATAAGTCATCTTTCCTCACTATTCCAGTCAACCCAGCTAAAAAATGGGAGACATCAATGCCAAGAAGTTTTGTCAAGGACCAGCTTGTAGAATCTAACTTTTTATCCTTGTAAAGAATGGTTATTTTTTTCTTTCTTTTCTTGGTTTCAATTAAATATAATTATAGTTGTGTTTTAAAGGGATTAAGATTTTCATGTATATCTGAGACATTAATAGCAGTGATTTGTACCATTAAAATGTCCGCAGGTCTTGCAATTCTAATAAAATCATTTTATGATCTGTCACTGGTGCTTCCATGTTATTTACAACTTTTGCATTAGTGATGTCAAATAATGTTAAGCATTTTTATAATTAAACTAACCACAGATATCTGAAGGAAAGTGGGAAAGATGTAAATAGAAGCAATAAATGGCGCATCTGTCCCTTTAACTAAAATAATGTTATATTTTGATACAATTAGTTATAAGGTAGGTTCTATGGATGTCACCATAAGATCAAATATTTTGATGGCATGAATATGCTAATAAAAACAAACCTGACACTATCCAAACTTCACTGTTTTTAGTCAACAAAAAATTGAACTACAAAATGTGATTTTTCTTGAATAAATTGTGAGTATATGAGTGAAAATTGCTGACTTGAGAAAATGTCTATGTGTAAGACCTAAATGATATGGATTTTGTAATCAGTATGTGACAGGTTTTAAAACTATTGAAACGATTGAATTGAAGTTCATATTTCAATAGCCAGACATTCATATCCGTTTTCCATGTTTCTGTATGTGTTGAGTTTACAATCTCTAATTAGTTGTTATGATTGTCAGACAACACTGACCTATATCTATTTATAGTAACTGTTAAAGGAGCTATGTGCTAAATTCCATTATTAAAAAATATAATAAATTAAAGATTTCTAGAATATTTTATGTATTAATTTCAATGTATCAACCTTATCTTGTTATAAAAGGGATGATAAAAAGTCATCATATCGAATACAGGTTTTGACATGGTCTTATTAACTTGTATTAAACTTCCTTTTATGAGCGTGAAAATGAGATTGGTGCTAATTGAATCTGACCAATCAGTAGAATGGAAATGAGATCATGTAAACAAAATTCAACATCAAGAACACATTCTTTTATTTTAATGTGAAAGTTTTGATTGTATCTTTTCTCTCAGCTTCAATCCTTCACAGAAAATCTTACTCAATTCTGTACCGTCCATATTAGGCCTAAACAAAATATATAATGACACGCTGCTTTCTTTTTGTTTGCATTCACAGAGAATCATAAGGAGGTATTTGTTTTGATTGGCTTAAAAAAGTATGCTAATTTTTAAATAAAAAGTTTAAACTGGTTTTGGTTCTGGGCACCATAACAATAACATTTACTGATATCAGTAAATATCAAAATAGCTTGGCGAGGTAACATACGCCCACTGGCAGCTGTCAGAAATGATAAAACAGTCTTTAGTGACTAAAGTACGAATTTTCTCATATTGAAGAAATTTTTATTAGATTGAATTAAATGATATCTATATTTACTGTCAGTTATTTTATGTTTAGTAATTCAAGATCTCATCAATATAAATGATCAAACCAAATTTCATTAAAATCAGTTGAAAACTGTAGTCTCCATTGTGTTCACAAGCAAATTTTGACGCATTTTTCCTAAGTCAAGGGCAATAACTAAAAAAATGTTCATCGAAAGATCGTCAACTTCGAACTTGACTAAGATCTCATTAATATATAGGCATATATTATTAGGGGTGGGGCAGTACAATTGATTAACAGGCACCACTGAATTAATGCTTTTACATTTAATTTGTTTTTTAGTTTTTATCAAAAAACTGTAGATTAATGTAAATAAAAGGCGAAACTGGTCATGTAAAGTTTGTCACATGATAAAACAGTGTTTATTTCAACATTTATTCTTACTGACCTATATCTGAATAGTTGAAGTATTATTGGCCTCTGTTATATTTACATCATAAATAAGTTTAGTTGTAAAGACATCTCACAGATTGGTGCAGATAAATTCCAATATTCATAAAAAGTTTTCAATAAGCTCTTTACAATCCCTTTAAATGAATTTCAACCAATGAGAATAAATGACCTGTCTTACCTCGACTATGTGCTGTAACCTTGACAACGTAGGTACGACCCTGCATTAATACATCAGCTTTAATGACCAATGACTGTTTATTTAGGCCAGTTTTTGTTTGAGTAGGTAGAAGTCTGACTGTAGTTGAGTCCTGGCTAAACACATGTTTCGTTTCATTTCTTGGTGTCGGCCGTCCCAAAACACGGTCTGTATTTTCAGAGTTAGATGTTCTATGGCCTGGTTTATCTATAATTTACATTACAAATATTCAACATTTTTAAAACTTAGGGTTTGACCATTTGTTAAGCTTTTGCAAACACATTTACACATAGGTCCTGAGTATTTCAGTTAGAATTTTATGTAAACTGAGAAATTGACCACAAATTAATTTAAATATATCAAAAACAAATAAATCCTTTGCTGAAAACAAATTCTCTCCAAATAAACCATGCCGTTGCCAAGCCAGATACAATCTCTTACCCACAGTTGTTACCAAGTCCTTTTATATATATATATATCTAGGGGTGTAACTTCAAAACATTTACAGAACAGTGTTCATATTCAAACTCATTCAACAAGTTGTGAATATAAAGCTACACATAAGATTTGATGAAAATCTGACAACAGTTGTGTTCACAAGGTTGCAGACAGACTGGCAGGGCAACATAAATATATATCAACACACAATTTTAAAAACAATAGATACCACACAAAGTTCGTTGTGGTCAAAAAAATAATCTGCTATAGAAAAAACAAAGTCCAACAGGGACAAACATGCATTAAAATGGGCATATAAAAAAACAAAACCGGAAAGATCAATAACCAATAAAACCCTTTACAGAAATTGTGTCAAAACGTAATTTTAATGACACTGACCTTCAAACTGTCGTCCTAAACCAGGTTGTTCTATCGGGTTGTGAACGTTTGTACCAGTCCCTTAAATATACATAATATTGATAATATCAATTCTGATTTCCATCTGTAAGAATATTTAAATGTTAAGGGTATATGATCAAAAATTTAATTAAGGCAAATTGTGACAATTCTTTATTGTAAGCTCCCTGTTATCCTGAATAAAAAAAGACTGAAGCACACTGAGGTAGGTTTATTGTCCCATCAGAACAACTTGACATGTATTTATGACAGCATCACTGACACAAGGAAACTAGTTGGGGAAAAACAGAAGGTAATATTTCCAAGATTCACAGATCTTCAGAACAAGCATCTCTTACTCAATGCACCTTATTTATAATATAATAATGAAGTTACTTACCGATATTTCTGCCCTGTGAACTACCACTTTCACCAGGAGAACCCTCTCTAGGTATGGTCAAAATATCGTTGGCATCATGATGGCGGGGTAAATTTCTTAATTGGGATCTCACTACAAAATAAACATAACAATCAAATACACTCTTAGTTTAACTAGAATTACAGAAACTTAGAATGGTACAAATCAATGTTCCCTATAACCATAAAATATCTTTTACAATCCTGTGTAACTTGAGGACTAGCCAATCCCTACCCATTTTCAGTTGACTAGTTTTTAAGAAGTTTTACAATAGAGAAAGTCTTATTTTGCATTGGTAGATCACCTCTGAAGAATTGGGTAGGTCAAGAGCTTGAAAATTATAAGCATCTCCTGGTCATCTTTTAAGAGTCATGATAGTCATAGTCAACATTTTTCCAGTAGCAGTTTATATATAATGCATCGATAAACTGAAACAATGTTCAGGTCATTCCTTATAATCAAATCAACTCGAATACGTGTTTAAATATTTATCTAAAATAGCAACAATTTAAGGCAGTAAATTGGCGCAAAAATACATAATTAATAATAGAGATGCCCTAGAGAACAGCCAATCAGCAATAAGTAGGTCACACTAATAGTCTACACTGTCTACTGCCAGAAAGTAGAGCGGCCAAGTTGAAAGATTAATTATTGAAAGACGAGTTCGAAATTAGTCCAGAATTTGTGATATTGATGGAATTTGGAGTGTGCACATTCAAGGAAATTTAGAGTGAGCACATTGGAGGGAATTTTGAAAATACAATTATCATTAAGTGACGTGCCGCTTTCAGCTACGTTGATGTTCGAAGGAACGACATCGACACCATGTAGTGGCCACATCAATTAAACTCGATGATATTACTTAGATATAAACCGAATGCATGTGAAGTGCTGTTATCCAATCAAATTGCGTGTAAACAGAATCGTGATTTAATTATTATTATATAATAATAGTTTTATTTCTATAACCCTTTCAACACTATAGCTATAATAGACCTTATTCATGCGTCGGCCATATTGAATCCAGAACCAGGCTCATAACGCCTCCTTCAATCCTACTAACTCAAAACTAATTATACTAAAAAATCTGAATTGCTTAAACTATTTAATGATACTTTTAGATGAAGTTTACCATCACACATGTCTGAGAAAGACACATTTTCTCACTGTTGATCGGATGTTCTGTGACGTCAAATTGGATATTCATTCATATGATGTTGCTATCTTATCAATGGATGACATAACTTGCATTATCAACCTTGCTTTCAGTGTCTCAAAAACAGGGCACGAATAAGGTCTAATTAAGTGAAATGTACTTAAAGGTCAGTGAAGTTACTGTTAGCCTTCTAACTAACCCCACATAATATCATCCGCTTTAAGTTATATAACTTAGATTTATGACATTTATTCTATTCACTATCAGCGTTCAAAGGATTAATAAAAGGTAGAAAAATTGAAAATAATTACCAGGGAATGGTAAACCTTCGTTCAGCTTGCTACCACGGAATGTTTCTGGTAAAGGTGGTGATCTTTGACCTTCAGTCATTCGACTTTCCACCATTCCACCTCGACCATAACTTCCTAACAAAATAAAAGTTCAGTCAGTAACTTATAAAACTGTATTTTGCCTAGGAGAGATTGCTCATTTGGAATTAACCAAAAGAAGGACTGTAGCACTGTCAGTTAGAGTGTTGGAATCTTTACATGCATCATTTGATAGATTAAGTTGAACAAATGGTTGTCATTGGTTCTAATCATTGTCATCATTCTGATGACCTTGAATCTGTTATCTTTCCTCATTATTCAGATCTATGCAGCTGTAAATAGGTACAAGTAATCAAGGGAAGGTCAATGGCAAGAAGTTTGGTAAATAAACAGCTTGTAGAAAGTGTCTATGTTAATCTAAGATTTGATGAACCTATAATCTATTCAGGTCAACTGTAACAAACTTAGTTATATAATTTAGTGTACAGTGGTTGTTATAGCTTTGTCAATTTTACCTCTGCCACTTTGACCTTCATTCATCATCCAAGGACCAAATATTGGTAAACTTGTTGTTACTGAAAAAAAAAAACAATTGAAATCATTTGACCTTAAAAATAACAATCATTTAGAGTTCAAAACATAACTAATAATAATGACTGCATTGACCTACAGAAATCATTTAGAGTTCAGAACATAACTAATAATAATAACTACATTGACCTACAGAAATCATTTAGAGTTCAGAACATAACTAATAACAATAACTGCATTGACCTACAGAAATCATTTAGAGTTCAGAACATAACTAATAACAATAACTGCATTGACCTACATTTATCATTTAGAGTTCAGAACATAACTAATAACAATAACTGCATTGACCTACATTTATCATTTAGAGTTCAGAACATAACTAATAACAATAACTGCATTGACCTACAGAAATCATTTAGAGTTCAGAACATAACTAATAACAATAACTGTATTGACCTACAGAAATCATTTAGAGTTCAGAACATAACTAATAACAATAACTGCATTGACCTACAGAAATCATTTAGAGTTCAGAACATAACTAATAATAATAACTGCATTGACCTACAAAAATCATTTAGAGTTCAGAACATAACTAATAATTATGTTTCCTCAAATTGACTAACTGCACATGGATACAAACAATCCTGGACACATCAATGTAAATGTTAGTCAAGGAACAGCTGGTTGACTGGATCCCTGTCAATCTTATTTTTACAACACAAATATATCAATCATTTACAGTACAACATAAAAATTTATGACAGCTTACAAATCATTACTAACTCAACAAAGACTTGGGAATTACTTTACCTTTCTCACTAACTCTTTGACTGGTTGTTTCGGGGGGTTCTTTAGTAGTCCCTAGCTTCTGAGACAAAAACTTCAAATCATACGATGATCCATCAGGCTGAACACATTGACCAAAATCATGAACAGCTGATTGGGGTTGCTGTTTACCCACAACTAGCTTCACCTCCCACTTATATCGTGTTTCAGTTGGTACACATCCTGTACAAGATGTTTCAAAAGATACTTGGTTGCTAGGATTAACCAGTTCACCAATACATTGCTTGCAACTAATTTTCAAGCTGAAATTGTATGGAATTTTTTTCAGATTTTCAGTCTGTGATTCTTGCAATTCCTCTAAAGCTAAGTGTTTCATCACATCATCAGGGCAAAATACCTTAGAAACTATTAGCAGCTTTTGTAGTAGTCTTAAAGTTCTTAGTTTTATTGGAACTGCAAGACCCAAAGTCAAAAGAGATATATGAATGGTCCAAATGGTAGCTATAAATGTACTGGCTAATTTGGTTACTCATACTAGAAATGAAATGAAATGAATGGAGTTTACCATCCTACTTTTACATACTAGACTAGAAAACCTTTCAACAATCTACAATTGGTCCATTTAAATATGGAGGCAAAAATATCTTACCTCAAAACTTGATCAATTTTGAGTACTTTGATGACTTGTTCAGTTGAAGCATTTCGACCAGATGACGTTGATACAGTCAGATTGAACAAAAAATCACTTTTATCTTTTCTTAAAAGTTGAATCGGCATGGTAACCACTGCTACGTCTTTTTGAATGTTTGGTGGCCATGTTGAATTTTCAAAACACCATTTATTGGAACTTAGTACCACACAACTCCATTTATAACTGAAACATAGATATGATATTTGAATGGAAATTTGATCGGTGTCAACTGAATAGAAATAACTTCCGAAGACAGACTGTAGCACGGTTGGATAGAGCGTTGGAATGACATCATTTGCTTGGTTACATTTAACAAATGGTCATTGTGGGTTCCAATCTCGGTCTCTGTGTGGTCAGGTGACTTTGAATAATCAATCTTATTATTCCAGTCCAGAGAGTACGAGTAATCCAGATGTTAAACAAAGATGGAAAGGATTCTAAGTTTATTGTTTCTTTTTTTCTATCACACTCACAAGAAATTGTGGATAGAAGTGGTGATTACAATGAGGGGGTAGCAGTAAGAAGTTTTGAGTTTTCACCTTAAATTAGAGTGTTGATCTAGATCTTGACTCAGACTACCATTAAGAATTAGAATATCTTTATGATTAAATCTACGATATTTCCCACCATCAATGGTAACTTTTAATGGTGAAGGTATGACTTCTAATTGGATCTTGCTCATTGAGTAAACTATAGTTCCCTTCATTCTAACCTGTCATTTATAAAATTCAATCATTAGTAAAAAACTAAGTAGTCCTAAAGTCCAACATGTTTCAAGAGCACAAAGGCTCCCTTCCTCAGGGACAGACTCAATGAAATGTCAGTTGAAGTTCAATGAATATAGTCTTGCCAATACTTAACTTATGATTTTATAGTGTTCTAAAAATCTGATTGGTCATTCAATAATCAATTATAATTGACCTTTTTAAATCCAATCAGTCTTTAAAAAATCTTGACTTTATCTTAGTTAAGTTTTGAGAATAAGGTTCCTGGTCTAAATGTGGTTTTATATTCTCAAAGAAAACATTACAAACCTTCAGCTTGACAGTATAGTTTCCATAATGTAAAGTATGAGAGGGTAAAATCAATGAGGAACTTCTAAATACTGGATCATCAGGATATTTAGGAAAGACTGGATGATTAGTTCTAATATCTAGGATCGTCCACGAATATTGAACCACACTAGACAATTCACATTCTTTCACTTGAACCTGGGCTTCAATATACAGAACTTCACATTTTCTAAATGTTAGCTGAAATAGAAAGACATCCAATTAGTACCAATCACAGATAGACTCAAAAGATTACAAAAAGTTTTTTTGATTTTTGAGCGAAAATTATTCTTAGTATAGTATCACTAGGTTCTTTATTCACCATTTACATCAGTGCCTCTTGGAAATTTGGAGGATAGATTAAAGGGATAGATAAATTATCACACTTTCTGATTCAGCTAAGCCTGATTGAGTTGGTTGCATGTATTGAGATTGAACATAAACTTGAGGCCATTTTACCTTGTTAAGACGTCTGCTGGGTTTGACTATACTGACATCTGGTGGATTACAAATTTGATCCAATATAAATACTTGATAGTGAGTTGCCATAGAACTGATGGGGTTGGCTGCTGTTAGTCGGACTGTGTACTCACCAATACTTAAAATGAAAAATAACTGAAATGGAGTTTTTTTATTCCTACTTTTCTGCTCCTGTTTGGAAAAATAAAATGAAATTGAGTTTTTCATCCTATCTATTGCAACTGTTTAGACTATTGAGGACAGACAACACAATACTATTGTCTGATTGTACTGTCTGTTTTGCTGATCTGTCCACTTTTTCATGTAGGATCATATAATAAAGATCAAAGCAACAACTTACTGTTTATATGTGTGGTTCACATTAACTTGTCCAACAACAAATTTATGGTGGCCATCACCAAAATCCCAGGTGAAATTCAAATAATCACCATCCCAAAATTTGGCTTGAAACTCGACTGGTTTTCCAACAAGTTTATTTTTGACAGCCATGATTGACAGGTCTACTAGTTGAGCTACAGAATGCACATTAACTGGTTTAGATATAGCTTTACTTAGACAATTGGTTGCTGTCACAGTTAGCATATGTCTAAAATAAATAAAGAGAGAAATAATAATGTTCCCAAAAAAACTAGAACTGTGAACAGCACAGATTGTGGCTATGTGAGAATTTGTCCCTTTTTGAAACTATCTTCAGTTCAGTGTTCTGAAATTTTATCAACACTCAAATGTAACACTCAAATGTAACCTCAAATGTAACACTCAAATGTAACACTCAAATGCAACACTCAAATGCAACCTCAAATGTAACATCAAATGTAACCTCAAATGTAACACTCAAATGTAACACTCAAATGTAACACTCAAATGTAACACTCAAATGTAAGCTCAAATGTAACACTCAAATGTAACCTCAAATGTAACCTCAAATGTAACACTCAAATGTAACACTCAAATGTAACACTTAAAAAGGGAGTCAACTAATTGTAACAATAAGGAGTTTCTCCTAGTTTGGTGTTGTGCATTACAACATCTTGATATTGTTAGCTGAACATTCCAAATATTTCTCCAAAATATGCATCTTGTAATGCCAGTCAATCTATTATTTTATGACATAACTATAACAATAGTCTTTAAATATCATTAGCGACTTTTGTGATATTGAATTCATAAAACTCTTAGCAATAGCAAGTTATATTTAAAACAGTCTTACTTTCCAGATGGTAGAGCAAATGTATTGAAAGAGTCTTTAGTAATTTCAGAGCCTCTAGGTAGAGTACTATTAGAATCCCACTCATAATATTGTACAATACCATCTATGTTAGGTCTTGCCGTCACATTATAGGTGTATCTTTGTCCAGCTATAATAACTACACTTGGTATTTTTAATGTGGCTCCTAAAAAAGCAAATTACATATAAAAATTCTGTTATCTGTCGATGGAGACTCTGAGGAGGAGCTGTAGAACAGTCAGATTGAGCATTTTTTGTTACCTCAAAAAGGAGTCCAACTGTTTACGCACAATACAGACTGTGACAAAAAAAAATATATGGAATTTTCATTAGATGTTCTCCAGACAATATTGATAGTCAACCATTTTCTAATTGATTGTCATTGGTTGAAAGATGGCGAACCATACAACAAAGTCCTGTAAATCTCACAATATAAGTGTTCAAAGTATTGTTAGATTTTACCCCAGATTTACTGGTGAGTATTATATTCACAATTATAAAGTATGAAAGAAATCTATTTACCATGTATTTCATCAACAACAGTTATCTCCCTTGGTAAATGAACTCTGTCTACTCTGTTATAAACTATTACTTCTAGAAATTTGGTGCCAGTAGTTTGGTATTGGTGTGTCACTGATTTACCTACAATTCAGCCAATCAGATCATGATCATTTTTGTGGAAACAGTATGTAATTTGTTTAGTTTTATAACAGTATAAACTTCTATAATGATCAGAATAATTGTGTAAGTAAGGTATGATATAGAATAGAATATTATATCCTAATTGTATTAATAAACCTACACAGTTTCTTGTCCCGTCCTAACTGAACAAGATGCTTTTTCTGGTCTGACATGGGGAAACCAGGTTAAAATTGAAATGCTGTAATTGAACCCTAAAACTTCAAGCTAAAGAGCATCCTTCTACCTCACTGAGTCACTACAGATCACTATCAAAATGTTCAGATCTCATACAAATAAATTAACTTTGACCTCACCATGGTCTATAAATTCTGTTTCGTCTCCCATTTTCCAATTTATGGTAATATTGGTTCCCATGGCAACCTCAAGAGTCAAGTGCAGGTCTTGTCTAGGTAGAATACACAAGCTTCCAAACAATTCTATTCCATCAGGAGGTACCTGGACATAGAATGGTTTGTCTAGTGACACTGTCAGGTTACCCAAAGGATTCTGGACTATCAGTTTGACTTGATAGACTCCCTCTGAAAAGCATTATAATATAATGTTAATAAAATAAAATGAAATGGAGTTTTACATCCTTCTTTTCTTCCTGACTTGGAAATTTTATCAGCTGAGATAAGTGGAACCATTGCTGTATTGATACAAAGCCGAATTCATCAAGTGATGGATTGTTCACACACCAACAGGGAACGTGAGCTGGGTTTAGACCAGCGTGAAACATGTGAAATAAAATTTTAATTATATTTTTGGCATAACTACAATATATTTCTGGTTATGAAGTAAATAAGGAAGACATATTTTCTTTATTTTGGTCTATAGTTTTCATCATTTCAAGCATCTAACTTTCTCAAATTTCTAAAAAATCAGGCTTCCTCTTCAAAACTATATTATATTCACAATAAACAAAAACTCACCATTTTGGTATCTGTGTTTTGCTGTAATCAGTTGCATCATGGGATCAGAAATAAATTCCACATATTTAGTCTCTGTTCCACCATCACCAAATTCAAATGCAAACATCATGTGAGAACCTTTCTCTACCCTACATAACATAACATTTAAACATAGCAGTATAAAGTAGCGCAGGATGGAAGAAAGAAAGGAACAAGCACTGTAATACAATGAGGACTGGCTGTAGCACAGTTTATCAAAACCTTGGAATCTTTACATGACATCTTCTGAAAAGTTACATCAAACAAATGGTGGTCATATGTTCTAATCAGGTCAGCGTGTGAAAGTCAGGTGACCTTCAATAAACAATTATTTCTCATAATTCCAGTCGACCCAGCGGTAAATTGGTACAGATAATCCAGGAAAGATAATTGCTTGCTAAGAGGTTTGGCCATGGACAAGCTGATTGAAAGGGTATTTTTCTTTGTCAAAGATAGCTTGCTAGGCAAGGTAACATACGCCCACTATCAGCTGTCAAAAATCATAACAAAGTCTGTAGTGGTTTAATATTTAAAACCAATCATCCTATTTTTACTAATTTCAAGCTTTACAGAGATCTCATACCAAGTTTCATCAAGATCGTATAAAAAATGTAGTCTCTATCAGGCCTACAAGCCAAATTAGACGCATTGAATTAATTCAAGGGCAATAACCCCAAAACCGTTCCCCAGATTGTTACCAATTTCAACTTGACTGAGATCTTGTCCATATATACAAGCATACCAAGTTAAATCGAGATCAGATAAAAACTGCACCCTGTATCATGACTACATGCCAAATTTGTAGGGTTTTTACAAAATCAACGACAATAACTTTGGTATATTTTATTTCATCTTATATATATTTTATTTTTTTTGTATATATTGTATATGTTAGGATTTTGACATTTGTTTCTCGTGCATATAACAAACTTTCTTCAAAAAATTTTGCATTAATCTTTTAATCTAACAAAGTAAATTTAATTGCCATTATTTATGTTTTTCTTTCATGTAAATTATACTCCGAGATAATCCATCCATTTAAATTACTACTCGGGTATAATCAAAATTCAAAGTTACTTCTAATCAATTTACAATTCACTAATCCCGCTTATTTTATCAAATATTTCTCATGTTTATTTATTTTATATTTTTGTATTCTTGATTTCTGATTATTTATGTTTTTCATTTATGTAAATTGTACTCTGAGATAATCTAATCCTCCTGAATTATTACTCAGATATAATCAAAATCTAATCCAATATTTCTATAATCCTCAATTGATCAAAGATATGACTCAACTAATTAAGAAATCAAAAATAATCCTAATCCTCAACTGATCAAAGATATGACATGATTCACTCAATAATTTTTAGAAAATCAAAAACCTGTATTAACTGACTACTATATAAATCGCAAATTAAATCTCATTTCATAACCATTCCTCGACACTTGAAAAAGGATAATATTTCGAAAACCGGTTCGTGTCAATTGCGTAAGTTTTTGTTTTACTTGTTATAATTTTTCACATCATTGTTAGCGTTATTTATCACCTAAATATATATTTTTTTGCATTTTTCATCTTGCTTTATATATCCCCAAACCCAGTTTGACTTATTTGCATAATTTGATCCCAACATTTTCACGCTAGCATATACAGTTTCCTCCTGTTACATCCGCTGTACATTCCCTTCTAA